TCAACAAGCCGGATCTCAACTTTTCCCCGTGCGATTCTAACTTTAGGATATTTATTTCGACAACAGTATTATCTCAAAGAAAAGGCTAAAATGCGTCATTTCTTTGTGCCAATAAAAGAATAAGACGTGGACGCGGTTGATCAGTTCAACCAACATGGCGGCTACGATGTTTCCGCACCCTGGAAACCTTTATCAATTAAGGAAAAAAAAACGAGCTAGATTCAAAAAATAACCACACAGAGCGAAAGAAGTGCTATTTCTCAATGATCGGGTAAAATTTCGAGGCTTTATTTCACGTTTCAATGATTTTGTTGAAATTTTTGATGAATCCCCATACATTTCCTTATAACATAACACCAGAGCTTGGGCTACCTGTGGTAAAATTTTCGCAAGCTTCATGACACCAGTTTTGTAGTGACGTCATTTCTACGTAACTGTTTCAGATCAGCTGGATATGAACCGATTAGTTAAAATTGACTTTCCATAATAATGGTGCGCATTTGCGCCTGTATCTAACAGCAACTACAAACACTGTACACGTAGGTATATCGACTTATCATTGTTGCAGAAGTGTCGGCTGTGACCGGCGCCATCTTAAAAACCATCAGGAAGATAGCGGGAAAGAAYACAGGAAGACCAACACTGCAATTCGTTGGCGTTATCAATTACACTATTCTTTTAGTCATAACATGTGAAAGTAGTTCCGCTATAATTAAAATAAGGATCTAATATCCAATTTGTAGTACATGGATATGGTTCAGTGGGGTTATTACACACGAAACGTTTCGCGTTCCCTTGTCGTATCTTATGACAATTTATCCAAGATATGAATGGGTAAACCTTTGACTAATAAGTAGTTTTGCAATATCACGTGAAAGCAGCCATATTGAATTGCGGTGGCAACAACAACAACTTATTTTACACGTGAAAACTCTTTCCCTCCAGGTGGGTGAGCATACGACATGGCTGTCAAAACGTGACGATACAAAAATCTTGATCATATGGAGAGGAATTTTTTTTTGAAGGATTGAATATTGGAAGAAAGGACAACGGATATCGTTCAGTTCATGTCATGCATCTGCTTTTGTAGCTTTCCTGCATAATTTCGGGGAAACTGTCTGTTCGAGATGTGGATAGAGCTTCGTCAAGGTGTTGTGCTGTTTGCGCGCGCATGAATTCAGATTATTGTCAAATTACTGCTACCTGGTCGTATGTCGTCTGAACTATATTTGCCTGTCCGTTCATTGTCTGCCTAAAAATGCGCTTCCATTATAGGTCGATCCATGGCAAGTTGCTCAGTTCCTGCCTGTTTAGTACCTATCTATCGGCTGTCTGTCGATCCGTCTGTCTGTCTGTCTAGTTAAGACATAATTATGTCATGGCCCCAAATTCCATTAACATCACCATGGCAACACTTACTAAACCATATCGATACACCACCTGCTCATGTGAAGATCGAAGTCAGATCAAGACCAAAGTTAATCGCTTCATACACTGTTCAATTTTATCATATTAGTTTTAGAAAGATCTTAGCATGGACGCTGCAAAAACACAGGAAAAAAAAAAAAGTTTCACATCGCTTTCATGCTGGCATGACGCTTTGTTGCAATTAAAGTCTTTCGTAATTTAATTTTGCCAATAAAGAGAAGTGCACGCGAAATACGAAAAAGCCTTATTTGGAGAAGACTTTCGTGTGTCTAATTACTCGGGATCTATTAGGAATAAGCCCCCCTGTCGACCCCAAGACGACTCAGTATATCAATGATCATTGTCAGCCGCGCACGGCGGACTAAGACATCAAAAAATTAAATTCCTTATCCTTAACCTGTCTAGAGCAGAAACTTCCCACAGCAGGAGACGAAACGTAAACCAACTTATCTGTAATAGTTATCTACAGTCACATCGCAAAGATAGGATACCATATTTTATCCAAACTAGATACTGAAAGAATAACACTTCTGATAGGAGCTGATAGAGCATACAGCGGCTTAGATATGGGAATCATGTTGGGTTGTCTGCACCAACCATACGCTTGAGAATGATTTGTTTTGAATAAAATTTTGGCAAAAGTCAGAAAAATATAACCCTTGTGTTTGAGAGGTTTTATTATTTTGTCTTGTTTTATGGTTGTTATATGAATACTGTATTTTGAGTGACCGTTCTATACAATAAAGTATTTTGAGTGAAATAACGCGAATCACTCACAGCTTCAGTTATCTCAAGACCACTCACTCGAATACCACCATTTTTTCCGACCTTGTGTAGGATAGTCGGGAGTTCTCGGAGCCTCTTGTTCTAATGTTTTATACAAGTGGGAAATTGTACGTCTTTAAATGCTATACCATTAACAATTGTTGGTTTTGATCGGCTTATGCATTATTCATATTTGTGTTAAGATCCCATCCTCCAGTCAGAGTCTTTTCTGTGCATACATATATAGCTTACGGGCAGCTGCGACTGAAAGGGGTTTTCCTTTTTCTCTCCAAAGTGTCTCTTATTGGTAAGAAAGACTAGTTATGGTTATATGTTTTTACAATCAGGAATTTCAACATCGATGGTCAGCCATCGGCAACAAGTTTAAGTAAATAATCACTAGTCATCCACCAGTTGAAGCGAGACGAGCGCGACACGGAATATTCAGATTTAGTCAAGACAAATCCAAAATAATGGCCGACAATTTGAGCTGGAAGCGAATAAAAAGAGTATTATTATTACCTTGGAGTCGTCGTAAGAACAGACGCCCGCCACCGGAGCCAACTGAGACAAGCGAACAACCTCCTTCTCCAGGTAAGATGTCCTTTTTGCTTTTTTTCAAATCCTTCGTCTTCGCTATTTCAAAAGTAAAGAATTAATTTCTCACGACCACCAAAAAAGCTCTCAAATCCTTAGAAAGYTTAATGCATGACTAAATTACGAATTTAAAATAGGTTTATATTTTAAAATTTCCCCCCGAAGAGGTGGAGAAAAAACTCAGTTTGTTGCATATTGTTTTCGGTGATTGTTTTACTTGCAGATGATGTTGTCGGCTTGGTTTACACAGTGTCGTGCCTTTTGTTCTACCAGAAATCGCTCATCTAAAATGTATCATATTTTATTCATGATACCATAGGATTTCCTACATCCTACCACGTATTATACGGCTAAAAGGGAACCGTGCAGCTTTAGGTTGAAGTTTTTGGATAGAAGATATTGGTATAAGGTGTCGCATATGTACCTCTTGCTAAACATATACGCAAAGCTTGAACCAAGATGTGTAAATATAAAACAAACAAATCTATCTTTCATTCTTACTTTCCTTCTCGTTTTGGTTTTACTCTTTTAAACTTCTACCAAGCAAGACTAATAATACCGCATTTCAAAAGATAACATATCCGGTTCGCTCAGTCATAGATTTTGAGGGTCAGTGAAAGATTAGTTAGAATATTGGGATATGCGGTATGTATAAAAAGCCTGTCAGGATTGAGATGAAAAAGAAGTTTGATAAGGCGGGAAAAAAACATAACAACTTTTGCAGGTGCTTCGATTGAGCATATTCACGCTAAAATCTCGTACGCCATAGTTAACGTTAGCAGAGCCCAAGTCTTTCAATATGGAGTATCATTGACAAATTTTTTCCTTCAAATGTCTCATTACTATATTTATGAGAATGACTATGTTCTTTATTTCTCGTTTGATTGATGGTCGTTTTTGAAATCTTTGCGATCACATCATTTATTATTAGTGACAGAAAACTCTTCTTCCTCAATTATTCATATCATACACAAAATTCAGCTCTTTAGGGATTTTCAGAATGTTTAAAAATTCATATAAGTATTTTCTTTGTAGTTTATTTTTCGCTAAACATCACCCCCAACGTTGGATTTTTTCCAAGTCCTAACTGAAGAAATGACCTAGGAAAGCCATATTAACTTCTTTAACTGTTTCTGGAAATAATTATAATTTTGTCAGTAAAAATAAAACGGTTAATGCTCTACTGGTTAGACATGCCTCACCACACGCAATGACTAGGAATTTGCCGCAAAAATAAAAAAAAAACAAAAAAAAAAAAAAAAAACACAAAAAACCTTACTGTTGCATCGGCATGGTGATACTACATATTTTTTGTGTGGAATTTATAATTCTGGCCCTGCAAATGCAATGTCTTTCATCTCGCCTCTTTTTTATACCGCTAAACTCGAAGTGCCTATAGCTAAGACATGAATGAATATAAGAAGTTGTTGTTCAAGTACATTTTGTTCTTCAATGAAGAGTGAATATATCATTCTTGACAGTCTTCTCATTAAAAGGAAAAATACCAAAGAAAACATTTCAAACTATCAGAACAAAAGGAGTATGAAAAAGAGAAAAAATCGTACTACACATAACGTGACGCCTTTTGTTGAGATTCGTATATATACTGATTGGATTTATATTTTGATAAGTGTATATTTATGATTTTTTTATATATAGGAGCCGTGATGTGTTGTATGGTATCTTTAATGAACATTTGCATGAGAAGCTATATATGACGTTGACGGAAGCGTAGAGATAACGTTCTTCTGATTTGTCACAACACTTTAAGCAAGCTCTTATGGCCACCTTTTGCAGCGATAGCCGAATCAAAAACATTTAGTCAGTTCGTGTATAAAGTTACAAGCTTCTAACAAACAATAATGACATATCGAGTCTAATGTTATGTAAGCGAAAAGCTCCACACGTAGGTTATAAATATCAAAAAAACTAAAAACAATCTTTTTATTAAGCTGACTCCTAAAATGCATATTTACTTTTCTCCGTAATGCTACTGCTCTGCTTCTGTTATGAACTGCTATAATTGATTACGATGACAAACACGGTAACAAAACGAAAACAAAATTATTTTTCCCATTTATTTACTTTCCGACCATTTTTCTCTCGTTTTAAATTCTCCAACTCGGGTTCTGATTGGTTAGAATCATGAGGATCGACGCTGATTGGCTAATTTGATTATTGAGGCTCGTCTCCTTGACGTTTACCGCCAAAGTGGTGCGCATGTGCGGTGGGGAGTAACTAAGCGCTTGGCCATGAGATGTGTTTGCTCACAACAGGACCAAGGAGAGAAGCTACTGCAAAATGAACAATATTTACTCCTAAAAATTTGCACTGAAATCTATGCTCAAGACCAGTTGAAGCTGTTTATRTTATCGAAAGACAGAGGACACTGTAAATATCCCGATTAATATGGATTTAGAGATTCCTGTTGGTCTTTCGGACCTGCTGCAGGACTTTACGGTGCATGTACTACGCGAGAAACCCGAAGATATCGTTGACTTTGCTGCCAATTACTTTATGAAGCTCAAATTGAAAGAGAAGCGTTCAAAGGATGGGCGAAAAAATAAAAAGGGCAAGGGCGTCAGTTTTTCTACTGAACAAAATGGAGAGGATATGGATGATGATGAGGATGATGATGATATGCCAGGTATTAATCTTCAWGCTCAAATTGTTCAGCATAGCAGCCTTGCAAGATGTCTCAGCGTCGGGTCAGATTTGCCATGGTTAATTCAAAAAGCCCGGAAGAAGTTAGAAAGCCTCTGCTCTTACTTATTTATTTATAATAAATGAACTTTCTCTCACAAATAGTAACTCCCGCATGCTTGCTCTTCGAGATTTTCAGTTAGAGTTTGACAACTTTTCTCCCTGCGAACTTTAATCATGATCACGAAGTGCTTCACAACTTTGAAATTTAATGGAAAATTAGTCTGCTCCACAAAATGAGCTGACTGGGAAAATCTCCTACTCGATAGTATTTCATTGAACGATATTCTACAGGGTTATTTTATATATTTTTTGCGGTTATTTGCAGAGCCCCTGAAGAATCGCTACGTAAGACGGCAATCTGGTGAGTTTCTTACTTGTTGTTTTTTCGTGTTTATGAAATAAAATCARCTAACTGTGAACTATAACGACAGAGTTCGAAAGAAAAAGAGATTAGATAAACGCATCTTTTCAAGAGGCAACCTGCTGTGGGATTGAACTTTTTCTTAATTTTTAACATCGTTTTTTTTYCAGCGTATTTTTTCCCTAAAGATTTTTGAATATGTTTTTCAAATCCGTTTCTTGCAGCAGGGTCACTTTAAATCCGCTTGATTCATTCCTTTTTTTGACCGAATTTTTTTGATTTTCTTGCTGCTTTATAGTCTGTGCCGAGCCTTTGAATCCGGAATCTGACGACGATGAAGATGAACAGCCGGTAAGGATAGAAATTACATGTTTACTCTTACAAAATAAAAATGTGGGGGTCAACTTTTCTCGATTAACGCGCTTTACTTAGCAAAAAATAATCCCGCGGAGTTTGCAAAATTTCAAATCAATAATGATTTGTTATGATTTAAGGTGTTCATTGAGTTCATCATTAATAGTAAATTTCAATCTGTGTCTTTTCGGATATTCAAATGATTTGTAAATAAACGAACTGTAAACAGAAATACGTATAATCTACAAGAACAGCATTCACTATCTCGATTATGTATGTCTTGGAAACATAATATCCTGTAACGTAATAAAGTGAATATCAAACTTGGCGTTTTTCTTCTAAAAAGAATTCTTCATCATAATGTTCAAGACATTAATACATGTAACAATCAAAATTATCACTTTTGTTCAAGTGTGCAGGGTAAAGTACATTATACATGCATGAACGAAAATCATTTCTAATTTAATGCTAAAATACGAAAATAAATATATAGGAAACTGTCGCCTTGAACTTTCCTGAATTAGGCACTTTAAAAGTAATTGAAGTTGTTTATCTTTTAGGAATTTTCCTAGCCTAGCATGACTTTTGGTTTCATGTCTGCTAAGCAATTAATTTTCTCCAAGCCAGCAATAATAGATTAATGAATCTTGAGAAAATTAACAAATTATTTAGAAACATTTCTCTGATATATGTTTTGAGTGCAAGCCAGATGAGGATCGTGGAAATAAGTCTTTGCTGTTATAAGTATCTACAGTGTATCTTATTTTTTCTTTGTCAATGTTTTAGATTAGGTAATACTATGGCTCTGAAATTTGCATTTCCTTTCCAAATTTAGATTTTATTTAGATTCCCAAAAATTTTTTCAATGTCAAATTTCCATTCTTTCCTATTTCTCAATGTGCATGGGGGATTTTCTATACACCTTGCTTGAAGTTCCTTTTTTATCTTAAAGATAAAGGATTCATTCAATTCTTTTTTTAGCTTTATTGTTGGTCAGGACAACAAATATTTGATACAAAACCTCTAGATAGTAAGATCTATTGATTGTCAAAAAATTTGTTTTTATTAACTTTCTATATATATGTATGAGTCATTGTAGCTACATGGGTGGCTACAGATCAAGTAATACTCTTTCAATTTGTTTTTCATGTTACAGTTGACTTTTCAGTGCAGGTGCTATTCTGAATGACCTGATGGCTAATTTATAATGGCATTTCCAATTTCCTTCTGTAGAACTTGAAGATTTCTTTTGATTTAAACATGAGCGTATATGTAGCATCTGAATTCCAACCTCATGAAATACATTCTATTTTTATTGATTTTTGGTTTGATGGAGAAACACCTTTGAGGTATTGAGTGTATATGATTTACAACAATGTAATATGTGAGAAGGTGCTGACATTTTTTCTTTGGTGATGCACTGCACTGAAAGACAAACAATGTATCAGCTGCTGTAGTGTCACTTGAATTATATTTCTATTGCTTTGAGGGTTTTAATAACCTACTTATTCATCCTTAGTGCACATTGACAACCACCAGACAAGAGTAAAGCTTGTAGAAAGTACTGCAGTCTTTGGTCAAATTAGCATAGGAAATCGCATGATCTTGAGTACAATTCCGAATTCATAGGTACGAATGATGTTTTGAAAGTTTTCAAAATTGGACAAGCATTTACGCGAGTTCAGTTTGAGAACTTTCAAATATCACGAGTATCTATTAATTCCAAATTGTACGAGAAGATTGTGCAATTTTTTTAAAATAATACATTAACAAAACTGAGCAACTTAATTGAGACTCTACAAAGTACAATTTGGGATTTAATTGTACTCCTYTTGTCCAATCAGAATCGWGTAATTTTGTTGAGTGTATTATAAGCATAAAAATAGTTTACACAGAATTCAGCTGGGTCAATATACTCTAATTTGCATGCAATGACTTTTAGATCCGTCATATGGTAACTGTATTTAAACTGATATTTGTTGTTATATTTTTGTGGAATGAATTAGGAATCATAAAAAGAAACAATAAAAAAACAACAAAAAATCAACAAAATTATTATAAAGTAAAAAGTTCATGGTGTATTCAATTTTCCAATGAATCTGTTTATTTATAGGGTTCGTAAAAAGTTTTTTTTTTTGTTTTCTATTTTTCTATTTACTGGGAAGACTGACTTTTTGTCTCAGTCTTCATGTCAAATTTACTGATGTCAGACTGTTTCCATTGATGAATAAATTATGACAACTACTGTAGCCAATAGTAGTTGTACTTTGTTAACTCTTGTTTAATTAAAAAAAGTAATTCTTAATGGTTGACTTCTCTAAAGTCTAGTGAAATTACTAGTTTAACATCCCTTTTACTAATTACTTTAGAGTGTATACTTTATTTATTGCAGTTGTAATATTTGTAAAATGTTGTCTATGTAGGTTGTTTATCCAAAGACTGATGATCAGAGACAAAGACTTAATGATGCTGTAAAGAATATTCTTCTCTTCAAGAATGTTGCTCTAGTAAGTGTGAAAGGGCATACAGTTGAAACTTATTTTAATACCCATTTAGAATTAAGTTACAAGACCTAAGCAACTAATAATAATAATAATAAGCTATATTTCATGAGGGTAAAAGCTTAACAGTTTTTAAAAAACACTGACAACTCTGTGGCCCTCAACTGACTATAATTTAGGACTTCTGGGTTTTTGGAATCTGTCAATCAAATTTCCAATCATCTGAGTTAATGAATTTTTGACTAGCTGAAGACAAAAACTCAGACATCTCAATTAGGCTATATGGTGTTCATGCATATGAATATGAAAATGGGTGGGATAGGGAAGCCAAAGGGATCAGTGTAACAGCTGGGATTCCATAGAAATAAAGACATTTGTAACTATGGAATACAAGTCAGGGCCAGGCCCATGGAAGATAGCTTCCAATATCTTGCGAGCCCATGGGGACAAAAGGCCATAATATCCAGTGATACAAATCGACTAAATCCTTTGAATTTTAGTCAAATTATATCTGAATCACACTGTGTGTGTGTTGTGTGTTTTGGATTGGTTATCTGATAACATAGGCACCCAGCAATAGACTTCCTGTAGACACCTGCTATTGAAACCTCTGTTATGACTGAATATTTTAAAATATAAAAATTCATATTCTTAATGAACCACTCAAAAATGTTACTGAATATTGAACTGTAGGATCAACTAAATGAAGTATTGGATGCAATGTTTGAAAAAAGAACCCAAATAGGAGATCATGTGATTGATCAAGGCGATGATGGAGATAACTTCTATGTTATAGACAAGTGAGTGTAATCTGCATATGATTAAACCCTTGAATTATTTTCTATTTTTGCTATCTGGGAGGTCTGTGGGTATACTGGAAAAATCTAAGCCTGAGGTCTGTATGAACTAGAGAGCTGGTAGATAGGGTTTTAGTTTCAAATTTCATTTGATTTGAATTTAAAAATGCATACATATTTCACCATATTCTAGTTCAAATCCTGGAGTAAGCAGTTCTAGAAAGCCCTCCAGACTCAAGCAATACGCATGCAGGGTTTCCATAGATATCCGGGTCAGGATTAATTAAATATTTATAAAATAGATAAATAAAAAAGAAATAAATAAGACCCAAATCTACATTAGGAAATATAGGCATTCAATATTATGGAAAACTATTGCTTCAAAAAAATTGAATCTTTTCCAACCATACCGTACACTGAACATTTAACCTCTGACCTACCCCACCTACACTACTTCACCCTTCCTTACCACAACTACCTTACCATACACTATCCTATAGTAGGGGCTTTGAATATTGAGAAGTATGGGGTGCTGAAAATTCTGAACAGGAAGGTCTAAAATAAAACCACTTTGTAAGAGAGAAATCTGCCATGGCTTTAAACATTTATCATGTTGAAATAAAGTTATTCTTATTCTTATTCTTGAATATAATAAATAAATAATAAGTAATTAAAAGTAGAGGCTCCTAATAAGAGAAGTATGGGGTACTGGAAATTTTTAACAGGAAGGTCTAAAATAAAACCACTTTGTAAGAGAGAAATCTGCCATGGCTTTAAACATTTATCATGTTGAAATAAAGTTATTCTTATTCTTATTCTTGAATATAATAAATAAATAATAAGTAATTAGAAGTAGAGGCTCCTAATAAGAGAAGTATGGGGTACTGGAAATTTTTAACAGGAAGGTCTAAAATAAAACCATTTAGTAAGAGAGAAACCTAGCATGATGGCTTTAAACACTTATTGTGTTGAAATAATAAAAGTTATTTGGCTTATTCTTATTCTTGGATATGACAAATGAATAATAAGTAATAAAAGCCTTATTTAATGAAAATGAACTTTCATTAAAAAGCTGGTTCACAAATTATTGCTTTCTTGGATATGATAAATAAATAATAAGTAATAAAAGCCTTATTTCATGAAGGTGAACTTTCATTTAAAAGCTGGTTCACAAATTATTGCTTGAGCTGACATGAAAATTGAAACAGGAACTCAGTGCAATTAATAATTAATAATTAATAATTATTATATCTTTTGTCATAAACAGGGTCTACAAATTTGAGTTTTTTGTCATAAACAGGGTACCCCTTCAGAATCCCAGAGGAACACCTCTACCCAAGTCCTAGCAGAGTACCCCCCATCCCCTAGAGTGAGCCCCAAGGTTGAGATGAGATGCTAATGCTAATAGAGATTAGATTTTCATTATAAGTTTATAGGTTAAGCAAATGCATTTAAGTATAACCAATAGCAAAATAGGATTATACCTCAGTGCCATCGTTGACACAATTCTAATGGCGTGGTCATAGAGTACAAGCTAGGAGGCTCAATCTATCAGAGAGTTGATTTAAAAAAGGGCTAGCTTTGACAGCATAGAAGATTACAGTGCAGTCTCTTTTATCTTGGGATTATACTGTGGATTATTATATTTGCTGAATTTATTAAATTGGTGTTATTTTTCAGAGGAAAATTTGACATATTTGTAAAGATAGAGGGCCAAGATAAGCTGGTGAGTGTTGTTTTAGAATGTACCCCTTTGTATAATACTCTCATAAAACATTGCGAGCACTCATAATAGGGTAACTTGGTTGAAAGGGTCAAATATCTTTGAAATAATTCTGATTGCAGGTGACTGGGCTTTGCTTGATGGTATATAAAAGTAAATATTTTATATTTTTTCAAGATTTTGTCTCTGAAAGGCAGATGATCATAATGATGCTTTAATTTTGTTTTGTCAGATTTATCTACATTGTAGTTTGTTAGTCATTGTGTAAAACAAGTTGAAAATAATTAATTATGCATATCTTAGTTAGACAGCTCAGATTTATCTGCAGATCATAGTTTCAATTACTTTTTTTTGTTATAATATTGTGTAACTATAAAGTAATATTCACATAATCCTTTTGTCAGCAAAGGAAATAGATCTGAAAATAAATCTTTGAAACTAACCAAGTAACCAAACAAGCCCACACTACCACTAGAGGGCCATGCACTGAGTTATCAGTACAATTTTTTATTTAATTTTAACTGTTGTTTGCCTCCTCTTTACTGTGAACACTTTCACATTTTTGATTTCTTTTTTACGTATTTCTTTTTATGTATATATTTTTACAGATTTTGTAGTTTTATGCTAAACAATGAGACATCCGTGCTTCACTTTGATGTTTGGATAGGCAGATTTTGTACGTCAATGTAACAAGACCCATTGAAAACCTCCGCAGGACCTCACTGAAAAACTCTCTTTGGAGACATGGGCTTCATGCTTATTATGATAATAATATGAATAAAAGGATATAAAAACATCAAAGTGAAGAACTAAATACCTAGTTAGTTAGAGGTGAAGGGCAAAATTTAAACTTGAAAAAAAGTTTTCAAAAAGATGTCAAATGCCTGCTATTTTATTGCATTTCCTTTAGGTTGGTGCTTATGACAATAAGGGTAGCTTTGGAGAGCTTGCTCTCATGTACAACACTCCAAGGTAAGGACCAATAAAAATTTTTTTAAATAATAATATCAAGGTTTAATGATGGTTAGTGATGGATAGATGGATCAATAGACCTTTTTAGCTTTGGTACTATTTCATACTATATGTACTATTACTTACTATRTGCAAATTGCCCATTTCATATCACATGACATTCCTTTGAGAATTTGTTTTTTTTAATGGCAAACATGTTAAAATATTTACACATGAAAGAATCAACTCCGAGTAGTTGCATCACATGGTCTGAAAATGTGCACAGCAAACAACAAAGCTAAAAAGGTCTATCATTAGTTTGCACTCTGAGGTTGGATTTGCATCATTGGCAAAATTGACACCATATTGATTTTAAAATTTGAATTAATTTTTTCTAGGGCTGCAACAATAGTTGCTACAACTGAAGGAATTCTTTGGGCTCTGGTAAGCTGTAAACCGTAAAAATATCTTGATGGTCTCAGTGTGTTTAATGGGAAGTGGTGTACGATATTTTTTCCTTGGGATTTAAGGCCATTCATTTTATGATAATTACTGCATTATAATGATACACTTGCCTTTTAACTTCTAGTGGTTCAGGGTATTAAAATAAATATACATTGGAATCAGCTTAATTATGCAATCTATGTTACATAATTTCCCTCACATTTCAAATCTCATTCACTTTTTCATTTAGGATCGAACAACATTTAGAAGAATCTTGTTAAAGGCAGCAGCTAAAAAGAGAAAAGCTTTAGAAGGTTTCCTGGAAAAGGTCCCTATGCTCCAGGAAATAACAGTAAGTAAAGTAATGGTAGTTTTGGTAAGAGTGGGAAACATGGTACTGACTTACAGCATATATATGGTACCACATGATGTGACATTGAAATGGCTTCTATTTCAATAGACCTAATCGGCTAACATGTTGCTATGTACGTTACCACCCAAGTCAAACCTTCTGGGAATAGAAGCATTTGTCTCCACGAATTCAACTGTGAAACCAAAATATGACGAACAATGAAACTTAGTCCCATGTGGTTTGAATTGGGTGGAAACGTTTATAGCAACATGTTAGCCGATTAGGTCTATAAGTGTTACAGTAATTCATCCAATCATAACACATAGTTATAGCTATGGTAAAATACATTATCCTGGAGTACCAAATGATCTTGCCTTATCGTTTCTCACTCATAGGAGTGGATATAAAGTATAAATAAGTAATTTCACATTTCTGATTAATAATGTAAAATATTATATGACCGTGAATCTTAGAGCCTGGACACTAGCAAATCGAGCAATCTGATTGGATAGATTGCATCGTGGACTGGTCTAGATTCCCTGATATTAACCCGTCCGATCGTATATTAATCTTACGGCAAAATATTTTGTCCTTTTCAATGAAAAGTGGTCATATAATAAAACTCTTATCAACCGAGCTTGGTCGGTCTGTACGGGATAATCTTGACCTCGGTCGGGTACAGACCTCGATCAAGATTATCCCGTACAGACATCCTGCTCGGTTAATGAGGTCTAAATGTTATAAATAAGCCTGCCTGCCAAAGGGTTCAAAATGCTCTCTGCAATGAACTTAATGTGCCATGGCAAGTCCATTGCTCCAAAACTGCATGGCTTACCTCCTCATACTCACCCAGTTATCATCTTTATCTGGAAAGTAGTATTTTATTAATGAAGGATTGATATTTATTTCAAAAAGGAATACGAAAGAATGAACCTTGCAGATGCCCTCAACTCCAAAAGCTTTAAAGATGGAGAATGTATCATCAAGCAGGTAATATTTCAACTGCATTTTAGTCTCTGGCTTATGTGTATTAAAGCAACTAAGGATCACTCCAAAAAATGGTAGGGTTAAAGCAAGTAGGATCCCTGACAAAGGGCCCATTATTTGACCCTATATTAGCCAACATCTTTTGGCTTAATGTTGGCCATGCTGTTGTAACATGAAAAACCAACATAACAAACAAGCACGACATTCATCCAACATGGAAAAAAAACCTATAACAAATGGACCAATGATTTGACATGATATTTCAGGTCATTTTTTAGGACCCCTGAAGATTCAACCCTCAATGAAATCATCCTCCATGTTTACTTCCTCACAGACTCACTCATTTGTAATATGTTATTAAAAATCTTATGAATATAAACAATTCCAGCAAGCTCTTAACATTTGAATGTAATTATTATGTTGATAACACGTTTCTAATGAGTGTACCTTTGTGTTAAAGGGTGATGAAGCAGATTATATGTACTTTGTTGAAGCTGGTGTTGTTTCTATCAGAATGCATAACCAGGTAAAGAAATCTTGTAATGTTATATTTTTGTTTTAAGACTTTCTGAGTATTGCACCCATTTCCTATCTGATATCTCAGGACATGAGAAAAGCTTGTATGTAACTGCTCAACGGTCAGAACGAGAAGCAGTTCAGAAACGATAAAATGCAGTATTCCCTTTATGTTCATAACAGGATTTGTTTTTCAAAATTGTTAGTAACACAGTTGTGAAAGATTTTTCCATTTTTGCCAACAGTCTACCAGTTACTTTATTCAAAAGCTGCAACTGGCATATGTATACACCTAATTGAAAAAAGCATTGTCGGGTTCAAAAAAGGTTATATCATCAAAGCTAAGACTGAAGGGGAGCATGGGAAGATAAACAATTATACTACTTTCATGCGTATTGCAGTTTTCCCTTCCTGTGCACATTTTATGCATCATGGCTTTGGCATGTTAATCTAGATCAACCAACTTTGCTCTACTGTGCATTCTTACATGTCTATATGCAAATATAATACTTATTTCGGAGTACCCAAAATCCTTTTCAGTCGTAGCATCGATGATATGACCTTCCTGAACCCGACTACGTTTTTTCAATTAGGTGTATGTATATTTATTTACTATTGTCATTATGAACAGAACTTAAATCGGCATACGCTTTGTCTTTCATGTAGAATGATCCCACATCTGAAGTGGAGGTTGCACGGTGTGAACAGGGAGGATACTTTGGGGAGCTTGCATTGATTACTCATAACAAGAGAGCTGCTTCTGCATATGCTGAAGGAGATGTTAACTGTGCAGGTTTGTACTCTTAATTTCAGTACTGTTTGCATAATTTCTCCTGGTTGTAGTGGCATGAACAACATCATCAGCATCTAAATGTCTTGATTGAATTCCACGGAGAAGGGACCTTCAAAATTTTTTGATACCCTGAAGAGACTCTGGGCGATCAGGGCACAGCTAACTCACAAATTGCCATTTAGCATGTAAGGTTTTGCAGAGGGAGGAAAACTGGAGAACCCAGAGAAAAACCCTCAAATCAAGGGAGGCCTGTAACATACTTTACTCAGTAATGAGATGCAAAGTCTGGGAATAAAACCTGAGGCCCAAGAGATGAAAGATGATTGCACTACAACTATGCCACCCTTAATTCCCTTAAGGCAAGTGGGGGGGGGGGGGATCAGATCAAATGCCAAGGACCTACATCATGTTTTGGTTTGCCATCAAATTTGATTTTTGAAAAGACACTGAATAAGGACACGGTGGTTGGTTAAAGCCAGGAATAGATTTTCATAAAAGATTTTGTTATCTTTAGTAAGGACAAACTTGTGTCTATTGCTGTCATACATGTCGTGCAGGGTAATGAAGTGACTCATCTTGACTTTTTCTGTGTTTCAGTTCTCGATGTCCATGCATTTGAAAGACTTCTAGGTTCTTGCATGGATATTATGAAGAGAAGTATTGATGGCTATGAAGAACAGTTGAAGAAACTTGGAGTTGAACATAGTGAGCTAAGATAGAAACCAACCAACCATCTAGAAGAACACATTTTTGCCAATGTCGTATTTTGTAGACATATAGTTCCCATAATTTTCATCCAAAACAGTAGATCTTAAATAACCCAAAAGCTGTAAATTGGATTTTTTAAATTTGATTTTGAATTTTAACAATAATTATGAACAAACAAATTCCACAATAATTTTTGAGTGATTTGAAGAAGTCATGTTTATAGCTAATTTTTTTTTTTAAAAAATCATGATAGATTATTTTGAATAATTATATTTACGTATGGTCTAAAGCCAAGAGACAATTAGGTTACCATTCACTGTTACTACAACCTCAATCTTTGGTTGTTATTTGTTACTGTCTGTGTGTTTGGTTCTAAACACACACTTAGCAGTTTTTCTACCAAGAACTGTTGAGATTTGTTAAGATAAAGACCCTGTCTGTAAATAAAGCATATTTATTATGTATAAATGTACATTAAACTTGTTGTTGTTGACAGATCACTAAACCATAGCTCGACACTGAACACTTGCCAGAGAGCTAATTGCCAGAGCATTTCATAGAGTAATTATTCTCCCAGGGACAGATCCAGGGTTGGTGTGCAGGGATCACCTATTTTGAAATGTGTCTAAACCTAAAAACCTTTATTAGAACAAAATTTTTAAATTTTTAAAAATTAAATTTAAAATTTAAATGAAATTTAATTCTTTTAAATTTTTTGCTAATAAAAAGGCCAATGTGCACTAGCACGAATATCTATCACAAAGCATGATGGGAAACCGAGTACTTACCATTTTTCAGCTCTTAAAATCCGTCTGACAATTTTTCCTTCAACATTTTTATGTAACTGTAAGTATTTTAACACGAAAATGACCACTTTTTGTCTGATTATTATTGATTTCCTTGTTCTGGTTTGTGTAGTACTCCGTTTCCCATCATGCTTTGTGCTAGAGATTTGTGCTTGCACACATTAATATTATTAATTCACGCTTGTAATCATATTTCCTTTTTCCATTTTCTTGTAATTTTTAAGAGTGATTTTTCATAAATCATAATGTAAACTAGTTAATTCTTGTGCAAAATTAAACAAAGCCTAAAGTCTTTACATATCAGTGATAAGATTATATTGCGATTAAGTCTATTTGCCTAATTTTTCCAGCCCCTCTGCACCTGATAATCAACCAAGGCCTAATGTCTTCATGGTACTCTTGCTTATAGAATGCCATAGTTTGTTCCCAAATTAATTGAACTTTCGGCCCTGGAAATTTACAGTGCGACTACTCCAACCAAAGCTACCTCGACAAATTTTCCACAAATTATCCAATAGTGTTTGAGTATTTAGACAATAGATTAGTGGCAAATTTTGAATTTAAATATTCTTCCATTGTTCCGGTTGGTAAAACTAAATGATGAAGAAGAGCTTGTAATATATTTTCTTCGCAAATTAGTGATTTGTGTCACCAAACATATAGATAAATAGTAATGTATGACTTCAAACACGACAGGAAAGCAAATTAGAGACCGTATAAAACACAGTCTTCATGATTACAGTTTGTTTCTTCCAGACAAAGATATTATCAGGCTGACACTGTTAGATCTTATCACTATGTTGCTATGCGACAGCACGTTTATATTCGACAACCAAGGTGCCAGCAGTCTTCTGAAGCCATGTAAACCCATGGATATTTATCCAATTTGTAGCAATTTTATTGTTCAGATTCCTACTTTTGATTGGCTAATTTGTGGAAAATTTGTCGAGGTGGCTTTGGTTGGAGTAGTCGCACTGTAAGGCTCTCTTAAACTTAATCATAAAGCATAAACTCATGACGATTTGTGCAAAAATAAATGATTTTCCCATTCTCCAGTCTATTAAAAAATTGATTTTTCTTTCTTTCACTTGCATTTTTTTGAAACATTGTCCTTCGCTGCTATGGTAACACATCTGATCTGTCGTATGAGTGAGTAAATGTGAAATACAGTTTCATAAGAAGTAAAATCATATGTCATTCTTGAGTTCTCTAACCATGTCACTGGGATTTTTTTATCAGACAGGTGTAAAATGCATGAAAAWCCCTTGGCATTTTAGGGGTACCCCCTCTCAGAATATTTGGCAAGAATAGGATTTAACTTAATCATGTCAGAAAATATTATTCATGTTCCTTGCAGCTGTTTAAACTCAAATGGACTTTGCCGCACCCAAATGTCTTGTTGAGAGTATTGATAATAAAAGATTACTAAAGGGCCCTCTACATGATTCAAGACCAGCACAAATTCATCTTGACTGTCATTGAAGGTTTAAAAAAGCTAGAAATTTGAGCATATAAACAAAAGACGTCTTAATCCAGATCTGATTAATTTCTATAGTGTGGGTGTAGTTTTCACATGAAAGATCTAGACCGAACGGAGGCATGGTAGCTAATTTTTCAATTTTTTTAGCCATTTCTATGTTTTTTTCTCATGGTTTTTTTTCACTTGATGCACGTTTGCTGGATTTGTGGAGCACCTGTTCTGTGTACCTKTTTCTATGGTTACCTTGATCCTTAGTATTCTTGGATCAAGTGAATTCTGATAAAAAAATCGCATTTTTATTATTTGAATCGCATACATTACTATTCCATACTCTTTTATATTTGCTTATTTTTAATTATTTTCCCGCAAAAATATGTTTAAAAATAGTGGCTCATTCCCAGGCTAGTTTACTTCCTTACACCGCTGATTCAAGTAACCGCAGACGCGGATGTAGTCTTTTCAAACTGGTGTGTTTGAAAGTAAGTCTGCGAAAGAGGGTTTTCTTCAAATTACTAGAAAAGGGTATGTAATATTGTTCTTTTTCCTGTACATTGCTTTAGCAGACGAAGATTATCGTGTTTATTAACTTATCAAGTGCTTTGCACGTGGTTATAACTCTTGGCGGTGACGTGAGTCATTTTTTATTATTATGACACTGCAGTTTTAACCAAACTTCTACTTCAAGACCGTCCTTTTAATTCTTTCAAACCACCCAGAACGTTAAGACTATATTCTAAGAGATTACTGGTCTAAATTATCAGCCATAGGTGTCCAAGGTTCAATCCTGAAGCGAGCTAGGCCGCCTTCGCCGGAYGAGACGGACGTCAAAATGGCACCGGCCAACATCCAGCGATTGATTGAAGACAACGTGAAGAATCACACAGTGATGATTTTCTCGAAATCCTACTGTCCATTTTGCAAAAAGGTAAGCAGGATACCTATATTACTAGGATTTAAATTCAAAATGCATAAAATGAGGTCTTCAATTATCAATCGCTTTGCAAAAGATATAAATTAAGTTGAACGTAAGCTTATGTTGCGCAATAGCTTTTTCAATTCAATACTTAGTATTTTTAAGGAAAATCTTTCTACCTTAGATAAATATTCAGATAAATGATAACGTAGAATTAGTATGCGTTAACGGATTTTTTATTAATCATACGAAATTTGATCGTCTTCCCATCATAAAGAAGGAAAGAGGAGAAAGCAAAATTGTAAAAATAATTAAATTGAACCAGCATCTGTTTGCGTTTTTCATTAGAATTCATTTTAAATGCCTGTTTCATTAATGTTTTTGTTTACTAACGAGAGTCTGTTGTTTTCTCACAGCAAGAAATCTTATTATTTTTGAAACATCAGGGGCAAAATGAGAAAATAGACTAAAATAATCATTGTTTATGTTTTGAATGGGTGAAATAGGAAATGGAATTTGCATTGAAGAGAATGGGATTTAAGAGAAAATGGGAAATAGAATAGGAAATAGGATCATCAACATAGATTTTCCCAAAATATATTTATTAAAAGTAGGATTAAAAGTACAAACTTTGACTAAAGAAGGGATGAAAATAGACCAAATACAATAATGGCTGCCATTGACTTTCAGAAATGAAAACTAATCTTTGAAAATAAACACCAGCAATTTTAATGTATTGTTTAATTAAATATGATGAGGTAGCAGCCATTATTGCATTTGGTGTATGAAATAAATAAAAATGGTTTTAGATTAACTCTTTTTATCCAGAAGGACAAATAAAATCAAGTTTTATGTGAAAAACTGTCAACATATTTTCCCTGGCTTACTGATTTTCATTTTGTTTCACACCTTCAGATGACTTCGTTTTATTAAGTCAGAAAATTGCAGACTCTATATCTCCTTGATTTGGTTATTTATAGACCATTTTTACTTATTGTTTTTTTTAAAATTTTATACAGCACAGGAAAAAAACCCGGATTCCCAAATTGGGAATTTGTTGGGAATTTCCCTGAATTCCCAACGAATTCCCATCCAATTCCCAGAGAGAACGAAATTGGGAACATGGCACTGATCCCCAATGTTAGTTTGTTGGGAATTTTGTTTTTCTATTGGGTATTAGAAGGAAATTCCCAACAATAAATCCCAACGTTGGTGTTCGAATTGGGAATTCAAGGAAATTCCCAACAATTCCCAATTTGGGAATCCTGTTTTTTTCCCTGTACAGTTATGTTCCTTCATTATACGGACTTATTTTACTGGCTAAAATGTTCGCTTCGTTACAGACCTATTTTACTGTGTAGTCTTTAGGGAAATTCATTGGTTGACAAGGGAATGAATTTGAAGCCCATATCTCATTGTAAATGCATGCATTCATTGGATAGAGATGAAGAAAATCTTCATAATAAAAAAAAAACTATTCTGACTTTTAAAATACATGATTGAAAATAAACACTTAATCTTGAATGCCTAAAATATTATTTGTCTTGTTAATTACAGGTTAAAGGAATATTTGATTCTATCAACGTGCAGTACAATGCAATGGAATTAGACTTATTAGGTAAGATCAAATAGATAAGAATAAAATTCTCAAAAAGTTATAGAAAAACTGTGTGCAACGACGGAAAGAGTCCCAAATCGATCAAACAAAATCATAAAATATTATGAAAATTATCAACACAAACACAAACACAAATACAAATGGTTTTCAAACTTGCTAAAGTAGTAACAGCATGTCCATACCACTATTTAGCGGCCAGTTGTCAAAGCCCTAATAAGAGTTAATGAAGTATTTATACCTCTGTTAAGTGACCAACCTCTGTTTACTGTCCACTTGAAAATTCCCAAATTCCTTATGAAGCTAATAATTCGGTTCTTCATCAAATATTGATGGAAAGGTGGAATAGGTGATTGATCTTTTTCTTCTCATCCAATCCCTCTACAGAAAACGGCAAAGACATTCAAGATAAGTTAGCAGAGATGTCTGGTCAAAAGACTGTACCAAATGTGTATATCCAGGGGAAGCATATAGGAGGCTCAGATACTATCCAGAAGCTTCAAGAAGAGAAGAAACTAATACCCTTGATTATCCCACCCAGTAAGAATTATGAATATGATTTGATTGTCATCGGTGGTGGGTCAGGTGGACTTGCATGTGCAAAGGTAGAGTAAAATGATTTCTCTTAGACGTATTTTTTCACCATGTCAGACCACTTGTTGTTCTCTTGAGTATTACATCTTTGTTCTGTGGTGATGCTTAGAGACACACACATGTACAGGTGCAGGTTATAATAATAATATAGACTTCCTTTATAGCTTGGGCATAATGTTTTCCCATATCAGACCTCTTGTGATTTTCTTGAGTATTATATCTTTGTTTACTGGTGAGGCTTACAAAGACACATGCAGATTCAATTTACAATAATATATAGACTTGATCTTAGCATCACAAGTAGAATGTTTTCCTATTTTGGACCACATGTCATCCTCTTGAGTATTAAGTTTTTGTTTACTGGTAATTGTAAGAAGACAGGCATGGATGTAAACTGTAAACAGAATTTCCCCTCAAAGGACTGACACATAGTCTGAAAGTACTAGGCATTTCTTTGATTCAATACTTCAATTTTCATGAATCTAAATTACTTTACAGTACAGAAATGAACACATGGACCACAACAGCAATAAATTGATCTTTTTTTTTAAATCTTCAGCAAGCTGCAGCTTTAGGAAGGAAAGTAGCAGTCTTAGACTTAGTCAAACCAACTCCAACAGGAACAACATGGGGTATGCCAGCTACAAAATGTTGGGTTTCACTTGATATCATTTTCTGTCTCATGTGGAATGTTTATCAGCTGAGCCACAAGTATTTGATATAATTCTATCTGGCTAACAACACATGGTGTCAGTGTTTCAACACCAATTGGAGCAGATAATGAGATTCAAAGACTTTTATCAGCTGATTGACACCCTGCAATTGAATAGTTTTTATTTGTTATATACATGTAAAATAAAAGTTTAAGAAATTTGACTTGAATACTCCAGTTTCAAATTCTCTTTTGCTTAGGGTTACCCTCGATATTGTGTAGAATATTCATGTGTTCTAGCAGGTTAATAAGTGTTAGTTCAATGTGTTTGTATTTGAAGTTGTGCATTCTTTTACTTTAGCATTGGTATTTGTGAATATTTTGACACTGATAACAAGGCTAATCATGAGTAAATGAGTCTATATTCRAGAAACCCATTTTGCATAAAATTGTATGAATGGTCTATTGCAATAATGATTATTCTAGAATTATTCTAATTTTAATTGTTGCTTTTCAAAGGTCTTGGAGGTACTTGTGTGAATGTAGGGTGCATACCAAAAAAACTGATGCATCAAGCAGCCCTTTTAGGTAGGATTGATTACGTTTTATTTCATTTATTGGTTTTAAGATGTCTACTACTAAAGCAAATCTCTAAATAGAATATTGTTTATTTTAAGGTCATGCAATAGAAGATGCCAGGCTATTTGGTTGGGAATTTGATTCAAAAGGTATTGAGTGGTCATTAAGTAATTCAGTTTAAGGCAGGATTTTTTAACTTATTCTCATCATTCATGTTGTATGATAAATGCATTCATAAGGCTGCATTTACATAGTTCCAGACAAATTTTTAACTGGTCAAAAATTCGACCTGTGTATAATTTTTAAATGGAATCGTCTATAATAATCAAACATGTTCTGTTTACAAGGAACCGGATCCAAATTTGTAGGGCTAGGCATACAAATTTTTGTTTGAAAGATAGCTCAGTCTAGTGTGAGCAGAACCCTTAAATATACAACTTTTTGACTGGTTAAACGTTCGTCTGGTACCTTATAAACACAGCCTAAGTTAAACCCAAAAATTACCATTTGTATATCATTATGTTGCTTGCATCGTGGTTATGACCACTTATCTTGTCTTGTACTGTTCTCGTTTCATTACAGTTCAGCACCAGTGGGAAACCATGAGAGAGGCCATTCAAGTGGGTGGTTTTCACTGTTACACTTTATATTACCTTTACACTTGCATATACATAAGAACTCACCCCATTATTTCTTCCATAAAAAATCTACATGTATTAAGGTGGCTGCCTACTTTTGAACGTTCGATTTGAGCCCACGATGTGCGCGCGCTCAAAAACCGC